TTTCGACGACGTGGGCCCGGGGCGATTTTTGGAATTTTTGGAAAAAACTTGGGAAACTGATTTTATGCATTCAAATTGATTCATATAATGTTTATTAACGTAATTGAGCAATTTGTGATTAGATTCGAGCGAATTGGAGGTGGAACCGCGAGGTAAAGCAATAGTTGAGGATTAAGTGGATTTCAAGGCTTTGAGGTAAGTGTTTGTTCTAACTTTGGCTTGAGGGTATAGGATTAGGATGTTGTTTGCTACTTGCTAAATGTGGAGTACGGTGTATAGGCATGGTGACGGTCGTCTATGCACCGGTGTCTAGCATGACCGTGGGTCTTAATTGCTTTTAACTCGAATGATGTGACATAACTTCCTTGTTTAATTGATAAACTTCATATAATGTGAGCGGTTGAGGAAGAATCGCGGTTGGTATATTTTGGAGCGTTGGCTCGAACAAGAATGTGATAATTGAGAAAGAAGTGAGTTAAAAGAGGAGGTGTTGTGATTATTCCCTTGCCAAGACGTGTAGGCTATTATTATGTACTCTCTCTTGCCGGGATATTTGGGCTGTTAGTTGTACCCTTGCCGGGTTAAAGTGTTATGTTGTTGAATTCCCCTAATGGGGCCTTCTTTACAAAGTCAGATACTTTGAACTATAATATGGGATCGTGTGGTACGCCGTCCACTTATATACTATAATATGGGATTGTGTGGCACGCCGTCCACTTATATATTATGAAATGGGATCGTTTGGCATGCCGACCACTTATATATTATGAAATGGGATCGTGTGGCACGCCGCCCACTTATGAATTAAGAAATGGGATCGTGTGGCGCGCCGACCACTTATATATGAGCTATGGTATTGAGATAGTTTCGTCGTTATATCCGTTGATCTGTATTCGCTGTATTTTCCCCGAGCCTGCCCCCTTCCCCTTTTTAGTCGATATTCTCTGTTGTTATTACTGTTGCCTTTGTATATATATACCTGCACAGGTTGTTTTTGGTAGGTCCTGTCTAGCCTCATCACTACTTCGCCGGGGTTAGGCCAGGCACTTACCAGCACATGGGGTCGGTTGTGCTGATGCTACACTTCTGTGCTTTTTGCATAGATCATAGTGCCGGAACAGGAGCCTTTGGTCAGCAGTAGGAGTGTTGGGAGCTTACTTCAGTCCGGAGATTTTCGAGGTAGCTTGCTGGAATCCGCATGGCCCGGAGTCTCTCTTATCTCTGTCTTTCGTTTGATTTCCCTTGTATCGGATCAGACAGTACTGTATTGTTATTCAGACTTTGTTTTTAGCATTCAGTAGAAGTTCGTGAGTTTAGTGACACCAGATCTGGGTAGAGGTGCATTTGAATTTCCGCACATGGTTTCAGTTATTTATGTTTCGAGACTTCCGCTTTTATGTTAATTGCCTCGTTCTTCTTTATACTTTTAATGATGTTGAGAGAATGTTAAATTAATTGGCTTGCCTAGCTCCTATTAGTAGGCGCCATCACGACTCCCGAGGGTGGGAAATCCGGGTCGTGACATTGTAGGTGGAGCAATTGAAGAAAGGGAAGATGGAGATTGTGACGATCTAGACCTTACTTAAGAACTTTGAATTGTTGTCCATGTTCTAGGAATCTTTTGTTATCAACGTTTGAAACTTACTCTAACTCTTGAAGTGTTGAAATGTAAAACTTATGTGATATTGGGTTAAAATATTTTTGTTTTATGGAGACAATGTAGATTATGATGTGTTTTATCTTTTTATTTATATAAATTTCAGGTTATTACAAATTTTGTATATCTAAATGTTCATTTACAGGTGGCTTAATAGTCCATTAGAACCGTCCCAATAGGGCTTGCAAACCGTTCCGATAGGTCTGACAAATTGTTCCAAAATACTCTACAAGAACCGTTCCAATAGGTCTTCAAAATCGTTCCATCAGGTCTTACAAATCGTTCCAAAATGCGCGACAAACCGATACAATAGGTAGTTAAAACCGTTGCAAAAGAAATAAAACCGTTACAGTAGCGTAATGAAACGGTTAGAGTATTTGTAAATAAACGTTGCAATAGCTTACATAACCGTTGCAACAAATTATATGGTAACGGCTGCCAACCGTTGTTGTAAACTCTATGGCAACGGTTTTTAACCGTTACAACAGGAAGGAAATATTCGTTGCTTCAGACAGAGGAACAACCGTTGCTATAGATATACCTTAAGCAACGGTTTTTGTAACCGTTGCAAGAACTGTTACTCTAGATCTACTGGCACGGCAGCGTATGTAACGGTCACTAAACCGTTCCAATAGCTCTATGGCAACGGTTTACCTCTCTGTTGCAACGGTTTTCCAGCTGTGGCAATAGGCTTATTTTCCAGTAGTGATAATATGCTGGAAGTTCATACATAGGTGTTCAAATCTCCAGTATATTATGCTGGAACTTACTGTCTGTTGGAGTTCTAGCATATTATGCTGGAAGTTCATACACAGGTGCACCAATCTCCGGTATATTATGCTGGAACTTTTCATGTTGCAGCAAAACAGTGATTATTTTTCAATGACTTTACAAACGCTGGCTATTTTTCAATTACCATTCCGAAAACTAACTAGCCCGTGCTATTTTCGCTCCAAATGTAGGTTTAATTCGGCCCAGGTCCTCTAGTTGCACTTCTAAATCGAAGAAACTTCATGAACGTAGCAAAAGAAAGGAAAGGAGTATGGATTCACATCCTTCTGTATGGTTCAAACAACAAATTAAAAAAAGGATTTTTCTCATTTGTTCTTATTTTTTGAATTCCAAAATATTATTGGTTTCTTCTTGGACTGTTTTTTCCTTCGCTTTTATCTACTTCCTATTCTCTCCATCCTCTAGTAGTTAGTTCACTCAGTTTAACTTGAAAATTTTAAATCGATTTCATCAAAATCAATAAATATTAAGAAAATATGAATATTTCATGGAAAGGGAACAACAGATCGTAACCATTTCAAAAGTAGAAAAAATAATATTAGCAAAATTTGACGATGTTAGTATGTAGGAAATTATTATAAACTATCCATGCATAATTATTGTTTTTAAATATAGTAAATTTTTCGTGCTGTTATCAGATAAGTTCCTACTAGCTCGAGTTTGACTTTTAGAAAATATTTAGGTCAATTGTCATGTATTTACAATCTTGACTGTGACGACCCAAAGGGTCATCACCGGATTTCTCTCTTTTCCGTGCTTCCGAGGCCCTGAAAACCTCGCTTTTAGTTGCCTCAATTTGCGTGCGCAGTCCGGGCGCGAAGACGAAAAGCTTTTATGTTGAAATATGTGAACTTTGTGAAAAATTTGAAGAATTTTGATATTAATATTGCTAAAGTTGACTTTGGTCAACATTTTTGGTAAACGGACCCGGACCCGTGATTTGGCGGTCCCGGAGGGTCCGTAGAAAAATATGGGACTCGGGAATATGCCCGGAGTCGAATTTCGAGGTCGAGAGCCCGAGAAATGAATTTTTCTGTGAAATTATTTTTCTGAAATTATTAAGGAAAATAGAAATGAAAATTGATTAAAAGACTATGGTATCGGGCTCGTATTTTGGTTCCGACGCCCGGTACAAGTCTTAAATATGTGTTAAGCACTTTCTGTGAAGTTTGGTCGAAATCGGACGTCATTTGACGTGTTTCGGACCTAAATATCTAAAGTTTGAAGTTTATGAAGTTATAATGAAAAATCATGTGCCTTGAGGCTTGATTCTATGTAAATGATGTATTTTAGCGATTTGATCGCGCGAGTAAGTCCGTAGGATGTTCTTGAGGTCGTGTGTGTGATTGGTTAGGAGTCCCCGAGGGCTCGGGAGTGAATTGGAGGTGGTTCGGGGTGTTTTTACACTTAGGAAAGGATCAGATTCTGCTGCATTTTTTTTTCACAGGCATTTTGTTCTTCGCGAACGCGGCCTCAGGCTCGCGTTCGCAGTGCTTTGGTCTTCCCCT